GACTTTTGATAGCTTGAAGCTTTTCGTGATGGTACATTCAATGAGGTAAGATTAAGACATAGAACTGTCTACAGATGTCCTGAGTCACAATACCAAGAACATCTGTAAGTGCTGCTTACATTGGTTGTCTGTTCATTTTATAGTGATGTATGTACATTTAAGGATATGTGCAATACAGCAGTGTGGTCTCTGCTATTCCCTTGTTCCTATTTTTTGTTAAACAAATTTTAATTATTTGACATTGCTATGGTATAAATATATATAAGGATACTTGAACTATTATTTTTCACTTAATAAACATTTAGCATGGTTGAACTTTAACAATTTTACAGCTTTCATGTTTCACTTAATAAACATTTCAGGTTGGTTAGACTTTAAAAATGTTTACTGTTATAAAAATAGGCCAGTAGAATATAATATCACACACTATAGTTTTTAATGATGTTGTTTATAAATGTGCATTTGTCAAATGCATTTCAAACCCTTAGTGAATGATTTCCTCATCAACACCAGTAACAGAAACATTGCAAATCCCATCTACATGCATAGGAGCCAAAATGATCAATAAATTGATCGTGGGCCCTTAAGATATAGAAGAAGAAGAAGAAATGTGCAATCCATTTCTTTGATCTTCTCATGTAGCACGTATGTGTTGTGGGGTACTGTTTATCAGTTCTTGAAAGTGTACTTAATTATTTAATTTCCAAGCAAGTTATTTCAGTACCGGTACTTCAAAGACATTTATTAGATTAAAACATACTTGTGTGAATCATATCAATTTTTTTCTTCTACATACTTCCAGAATAGTTTGGAAATTCATATATTGACGGCCCGAATTAAATTTCTAAAATATTAACAGCTCCAAATTTGTAAAGTAAGTTGAAAAAATAAAATTAGGCTCGACGCATAAATTTCATAAAGCTCTTTGGAAAAGAATTCAAAATAACTTCAGTATGTTTTAACTGAAAAAGGGGGCAAGTTTGATGTATACTTTAAAAGTATAAAATTTGTTTTATCCCTCTAATTTTTTTAATTGCCATAAGTTATGTTAAAAGTGCAAAACTCCAAATTTGATTTTTTACACACCGAATTATTTTGAGGTTAATTAGAATGCAAAGTGAGAATTCTCTCCTCAAAAGTGCACTGCTGTAAGATGCACTTTTTTGAAATGGAAGATTTAGCATCATTGCCACAATATTTTTGTTGGCTGACTATTTGAAAATTCCAGGACATATTCATACTTAATTGGTAAATTGATGCTCAGTCAAATTGTGATAGATTAAGACTATGCTCTTAAATGAATTTCAGCTTCTTAGTGTTCAAGGAACCAGAGATGCGAGCATTTAAATGTGATGTCCACACAAAACAAACTATACTATAAATATTTATCATACCCATATAAATTTAGAAGGGCATTGGATAAAAAAATACAACCACAAAATAAAAATTAGGCCCAATCTCTTATTTACCTTTGATTATAACCACGCAGGTGGAATGTATAAAGATGTAAATATTTGAATGTATATATACTTGAAGTTTTAGCTGTGTTCATTGCATCTTCTCCACCACCCTCTTCAAAACCTCTCAGTTTATTTATCCCATTACCTTTTCCGGTTAAACATAAGATACAAACTAAAAGCAGAACTTCCTATAACACAGGGCTATTCAACTTAAAACACAGAGGTTTACTACTTATAACACAGAGGTTTACTACTTATAACACAGAAGTTCACTACTTATAATACAGGGGTTTTTAACTTATAACACAGAGGTTTACTACTTATAACACAGAGGTTTACTACTTATAACACAGAGGTTTACTACTTATAACACAGAGGTTTACTACTTATAACACAGAGGTTTACTACTTATAATACAGGGGTTTTCAACTTATAACACAGAGTTTTACTACAAGGCTTTTCAACTTATAACACAGAGGTTTACTACTTATAATACAGGGGTTTTTAACGTACAACACAGAGGTTTACTACTTATAATACAGGGTTTTTTAACTAATAACACAAGGCTTTTCAACTTAAAACAGAGGTTTTCTACTTATAATACAGGGGTTTTCAACTTACAACACAGAGGTTTCCAGCTGTGTGTCGCAAAACGTTCAATGGTATGTTGTAAGTTTTTGATATAAATCATTACAAGATGATTATTTTACCCAGATAGAGTAGGATAGTTTGATGTGAGCTCAGGCTTATGATGTATTCCACCTTACCTAATCATATCTAAACATCATTTTAAAAAAATCATTTGGAATTTCCCGATTCGCTGAAACCCTGAATTCTAACCTCTTGCAGGATGAGTATTTTTCAAATTGGCAATGTAGTGTGTCCTAAGATAAAATAGGATGAGAACCACTTTTGTGCCCTATACATTTTTAACGAAGAAAACATAACTGAATAGTATGAAATTCCAACATGTCGTCTACATTTAACGCAAAGTGATTTGTTTTGTAAGACTGACATCTTATAAATTCCTAGCACTGTGATAAATGATGTCCAAATTTACCTTTTTTTTTTAGCGAAATGCTGTTTGAATTGTTATTTATGATTTTGTAAATTTTACGTGTATCACAAATGATCAAGAGGAACATGAAGTCCTGCATGTGAAAATGAAATACTTTGACACAAACTGTGGTATTGGACTATTGGGCACCAGGGGACTCTGTGTGCCATCCTCCCACTCCTCACTGTCCCCCCTAACTCTGCGAATGGGAGGACATTCTCAAACTGACACTATCATGTGCGGAGTTAACCCCAGAAGGCTCTGTGTGGGAGTTAACCCCAGAAGGCTCCGTGTGGGAGTTAACCCCAGAAGGCTCCGTGTGGGAGTTAACCCCAGAAGGCTCCGTGTGGGAGTTAACCCCAGAAGGCTCCACGTGGGAGTTAACCCCAGAAGGCTCCGTGTGGGAGTTAACCCCAGAAGGCTCCGCGTGGGAGTTAACCCCAGAAGGCTCCGAGTGGGAGTTAACCCCAGAAGGCTCCACGTGGGTGTTAAGCACAGAAGTTAACCCCAGAAGGCTCCGTGTGGGAGTTAACCCCAGAAGGCTCCGTGTGGCAGTTAACCCCAGAAGGCTCCACGTGGGAGTTAACCCCAGAAGGCTCCGTGTGGGAGTTAACCCCAGAAGGCTCCGCGTGGGAGTTAACCCCAGAAGGCTCCGTGTGGGAGTTAACCCCAGAAGGCTCCGTGTGGGGGTTAACCCCAGAAGGCTCCGTGTGGGAGTTAACCCCAGAAGGCTCCACGTGGGAGTTAACCCCAGAAGGCTCCATGTGGGAGTTAACCCCAGAAGGCTCCACGTGGGAGTTAACCCCAGAAGGCTCCATGTGGGAGTTAACCCCAGAAGGCTCCATGTGGGAGTTAACCCCAGAAGGCTCCGCGTGGCTAATCTTTGAGGTTTGGGATTATTGTGAGACAGGTAATTTATTCAACAATTTTTTTTTAATGATTGACTTAGTCAACTGGTTTTGTTGAAAAGTTAAGGTCCATTCGACCATTGATCAGGAACTTTGAGTGAATGTCAAACTCCTGTATATGAATGAATTTTGTGGGTGTGTTTAATTTTCTAGTTTTAATTTGGCTGGACCAAATGTCAATATTTCAATTGAATGCTACTTTTTAGAAAGACAAATATATATGAATGCTTGATATTTTTTAAAACCTGTGAGGAGGAAAGTTCTCACACCTGTTCAGTCTTACCCCAAGCATTAAACAACCCACTTGAAGTTGAAGCCAACTGTTGTGTGGTTTTCGTCTCGGAATTTTTAAATTTTTTAAAATTGTAATCATCAAGCTGAAATTTTTTAGATAAAAGTATGGATATCAGTTTTGTTCCAATTTTAATTTTACAGCACATGAAAAAAGAAAAAGTGTTCAATATTTAATTATTTTTTTGTATTAGTAATTACCCATGTCTTCAGTTTTTTTAACATGCCTTTGTTGAGATTATTAAAATTTGTTTAAAAATTTTGTTTTGCATGACTCATCTTCTTAAACAAAAAAAATTTACATATTGAAACAGGGCACAAATTTGGTCAACCGTGAACATTAATTTTGACTTGAAACTAAAGGGATTTAATTTAAAGACTTCAAGAGCTTATGTTCAAAAACAGAAAATTTTCTACCATCTGAGGAGTTCCTTGTTGTTTTTACATAACTCAACATGTTTTGTTGGTTTTTTTACACTTTTTAATGAATTTTTCTTTATTTCTCTCTTTAGCCATCCTTAAAACTATTGTAAAGTCATGTAGTCTATCTCAATTTTTTTTTTTTTGCCCACTTCTCCTCTGTATACATTGTTCTACCATGGCAAAGAAAAAACCTTTCAGTGTAAGTCTTAGATGATATGTAAAGGTAAATAAATGTCTCTGAATATTTTTTCTTACAACTCTCACTTGTTCATGTTTAATTAAAGAATGTAAACACATCTTCCCAACTCTCATAAATGTGCTATTATATATTTCTAAATTCTATGTACCAAACTATGACTCTTAATGTAACCTATGTCAATATATTTATATTATACAACATATTTGCCAGTTTGCATTTTAAAAAGATTTGAAAAAAAAGCAAAGAAACCTCAAATTGTTTTATGGCAACATTAAATTATTTATGTATAGAAATTTTAAAAAATGGTCTTCCTGTTTTTAATTAAATGAAATTGTTTTGTGTCATTTTGATAATTTCTTGTTTTTGGATTAAACTTCTTCAACTGAAAAATAAATGTGATTAATATTTAAATTTAAGTAACTAGAGTGCAACCTAAAACATTAAACCTACTCCACAGGATTGATGGCCAGAAAAAAAAAGGTTGACTTTAACCAAAACTGGCAAACTTATTGGTGTCCATCACACAAGAATTTTAATATCAATTGTGTGTGTGTGTATGTGGGAGGGGAGTGTGTCCAAACTGGCTAATGTATAATAACATAGGAGGAATTATAGTAATTCAACAAATTTATTCATTTTAAATATATAAATCACATTTTTAACTGTAATCTGGCTGATGATGACTTGATGACATCACCAGACTTAAAAAAATAATTTAATTACATCACTTTAATAGTTTTTACAATAAAAAAAACAAACAAAAATATATTTGGCAAAAAAAAAAATAAGGCTTTATTTATTATGTGTATGTTTACCAATACTGTACTTTATGGGACATCTTGTCCCTAACATTGCAGGACATGATAATAAGAAAGATGACAACTGGGATAAGGTGCTGGACAATATTAATAATTTTCTTTAAAAAAGAAGAGCAAATGATAGCATCCATTGACAGATTTTGGAACACAGAAACAATGAACTTTAGTCACATGTTACCGAGGTGCTCTCCTGGTTTCTTTGATTTATTAACTACCGCAGCAGTGACAGCTCAAGGGAAACAGACTCCAACATTCAAGTATTGTCAAAACTTATATTGTTGAATATATAGATATTTGAAGAGTGGGTCAACATTCTGCGTGTCACCTCAGTGATTACAAGGATCACCTTAAAGTAAATGCTCACATCAGTGTTCAGGTATTCTCAAATTGATAATGAAGAATATATTTAGCTATTCTGAATATGAAAAAAACAGAATCTGTGTAGATGGGAAAAAAGATAGTTTGAAGAGATCTTTTGAGTGAAATTGTTACTTCATGTGCATAATATCAGCCCATTACACAACTTACTACTCAGCATCCTGGGGCATGTTCCTTGTTCAACACTTGAGTTGAATACCTCAATCAATTATTAGTAAAAAATCTGTGATGGTCTTCATTTCCTATTTTTGTGTGAAAGCTTGTAAGGGTCATGCAACAATAGGTCACCACTGAAACAGATTCTGTCACAACAAAAGTATGATACAATCCCACTCTCAACAACATAGACGGAATCATTACAACTATACGTCAACACTGAAACGGATTCTTTCACAACAAAAGTATGATATAATCCATCTCTCAACAACATAGACGGAATCACTACAACTATAGGTCAACACTGAAACAGATTCTGTCACAACAAAAGTATAATATAATCCATCTGTCAACAATATAGACGGAATCATTCAACTATAGGTCAACACTGAAACAGATTCTGTCACAACAAAAGTATAATATAATCCATCTGTCAACAATATAGACGGAATCATTCAACTATAGGTCAACACTGAAACAGATTCTGTCACAACAAAAGTATAATACAATCCATCCCTTAACAATATAGACGGAATCACTACACATCAAGACCTCTAGGATCATTGCATCACATGTACTGTATCATTTATTCATGGCATGGTATGTGCAATACATTTTAATAATCTATTAGAGAGGAAATGACAGTGTTATAAACATTTACAGCCTACATAAGCACAAGTTGAAGGGTACATACAAAATCTTAGCCCCAGGAAACCAGCATTTCAAGATAAATGGAACTCTGGTTTCATGAAGGTTTAATAAATGGTATGAAATTACTTTTAGTATTGAATGTCAGTCTCGCGTTACATAACTGGTGAAGCATCATTAAAACAGCATGGAGCTATAAATGTATTACCCTCACCAACCTTTAAGCTTAAATCAATTCTGCCAGGGAAAACAACATAGAAAGCTGTAGTATCAATTCTGGCAGGGAAAACAACAGAGAAAGCTGTTGTGGTATATTAAGATCGTAAACTGACAACAGGTGATGTCAAAGAAAGTCTACAATCCAGTTGAGCAGATGTCCGTGGTGTGATCATTGTGTTCAAAGTTTGTTGGGTTTGCATCAAACAAACAAACAGAAATGCATTAAAAAACCATGATCATGAACTTTAAAATTCCCAGATATTGCTTTTGTGTCTTAAGCATCTTAAAAAAACAAATGTATACATTAGAAAAATGGGGGCACTAACAACTTTAAAAAAAGAAACATAAAAATTCATCAGTAACCGGCATAATATCTATGACAGTTTATGTGGCTCATATTACATTCAAATAACACAAATTGTATGACCTCAAAAAAAGATAACACAAATTGGTATGGAGAAGGGAAAAAAAAAAAAGCAATGATATTGCACACTGTCATAAGTATAGGCTTGAAAGAACTTTTCTATATACAAAGTGATTTAGTAGCAGTAAACCTTTCAAAAATTCTCTAGTTTAGATGTGATCCTTTGAAAAGGTAAAAAAAAATGTGTAGAGTGATAGATGTCAAACTAAAACCAACTACCTGCATATAGTGAATCAAAAGATTGACTGGACATAGATCGAAATATTGTTTTAAAAAAATATTGAATAATCAACACAGTTTAAAATATATTGCGTAAGGAGCCAATAAGGTTACATAAAGATAAAATTCAGGTGGAATATAAGCCAGCAAAGCTTCAGCAGCAAACTGTAAGTAAAAATTATTTAAAATTCATTCACCAGACTATGCACTTTTATTTGTTAAGAAGCATTCTGCTCTCATGGACGTTCCTTCATTCACAATGGTTTAAATGTAAAAATAAAACATAGAAGAAAAGTCAGTAGCACAATATATAATGAAGTGGGGGGGTGGTTTTTCTCTCTTCCCAGATATTCTGTCATCCTCAAGTGGTTTATGTTTCACGGGCGGCACAAAATAATGGCTACGGGCTTGGATTGCATATTTCAATTAGGTTAAAAAGGAAACTTCACACAAGTTACATGACATAATGTCAAAAGCCTTTAGGTGCTAGGTTCAAGTTCGAAACATGAAAAATGTTTTACTCATGAATATTTATCTTGACCCTCTGCATAGATCATTTGCTCCTCTGGGGAGATGCGGTACAGCTATTGGTCACTGTGGAATAAAAGTGAAAATACGAATTATTCGTCTTGCATCACAGCATTTCATAGTGCACTTTTAATTCAAGTTAGTAGTATTTCAAATTTCAACCAATTATTTTCCTATGATAAAATTCTCAAAGCACCATGATCATAAACCTGTTTGGTATATTTAGCATTTCATTTTAATAGTTAATCTATAATTTTAAAAGTACAAAAAATACTGGTACAGGGAAAAAGTATTAAAGTTGCTGCAATGAGTTGAAAGAATTACTATCCAATAACAAGGTGACACTTGGCAGAAGTGATCATCCAACAATTTGATTTATTTATGTGAACATATGGTGTTCCATGGACCAAGCTTGAGTAAATTTGGTTGGAATAAGCCAAAATAATTGTTATTCCGGAACCTGCCAAGAAACAAAATCTGAGGGGGGGGGGGGGGGGGTTGTGNGGGGGGGGGGGGGGGGGGGGGGGGGGGGGGGGTCGTTGGTTTAAGATCTACATACTAATGCACAAGCCTTTTTTTTTTTAGTTAATAAAGAAATATAAAGTTATCTATCTCCTTTTGTTTTTGAAGAGTCCACAATACACCACAGAATATGAGAAAAACATTACTGTAAATGTTTGTATTTGTATACAGATATATACAAAACAGAATCTCCATTTTATTTACAATATGTACACAGGCTGCTAAGAGTTAAGCTTTCCAGCTTATCCCTAGTGACCTTTTTGCACGTGTCCAACAGCTCTTTGGACAACTGAAGGTGAGCAGTGCAATTGATTTTAGTTACAAACAGGTTAGATAGAATATCAGCTTACACTTGTTTCATTGTCATTTTTCTTCACAATCTTCTCGCAATCTGCAAGTCTGGAAACATTTCTTTGACACTGGCATTAAAACGATCGGAGTTGGGTAGAGAAATAAAACATCCGATCAGATAACTGAATCGTCCAATTCGTTAGCTAAGTAATTAAATATGGATGTCATAGATTCACTGCTTTTAGATGCAGTTGAATGTTTTTTGTTTTTTTTTAAATGTTAATTAATATCATTGTTACCACTTTGAATAGATTTATTCATCTACTTAAGAAAAAATGTAACCAAATAAAAAGTCACAACACAACTGTGTAGATTTATCCATCTAATTAAGAACAAATTTAACCACAAAAAAAGTCACAACACAACTGAATAATAAAGGATAAATCATGATCAGATCAATTTGTGATTGAAGACTAATTTGGAGATTGCAGTTCGCTTTGATAAAAACAAGGCAGTGTCTACACGTCTGGTGACCAGACTAATAGTGCGGGAGATATTTATCCCGCGGGGATGTCATGCTTTATTTAACACTTTTTAAACATTTTTTTATTGCATAAACCAGATTTTGTTCTAGTATTTCTTTTGTAGAATTGAACATATTTCTTTTTCATGCGAAATGTCCAGACTATCTTGAATTTGTTGAAAAGAAATAAACTCTGATCGACTATTAGCGGTCACGGTACAAGGCTGATGGACATTTATCTTGCGCATAATACCTCGTGCAACTTTGTGTGCCATCATCGAAATGCACCACTTCCTGTAGTACCAGATTTTTTATCACTTTCTGATTTTTATGACGGATGGAAAATTATAATGCTCATAAAATCTGAATTTTAAGGGGTTTGTCGGAAGGTCAGCATGAGGGGTAAAAAAAAGTTATAATTCCGATAAAATTGAAAGGGTTGGCAGGTCTGTTATTCTAGTGCAGTGGTTCTATAGCTAAATTTAAATTTTCTCCAGCCCTGACATCCTGCTTATTTTCAAACAGCTACTGAAGGTAAAAGTCTCCTAATCATGGTTAACATAAACAACTGCACTTCAGACTATCACAACTGCACCTGAAACAATCACAACTGCACCTGAAACTATCACAACTGCACTTGAAACTATCACAACTGCACTCGAAAGTATCACAATTACACTATCATGAATAACCCAATGACATTTTTGGGGGGAATGTATGTCCCAAATATTGATATCAATATTCAAAACACCAGATTATGAGTTCTCAATATGCTTGTCATCTTAGTTTAATTTGTTGATTAAAATCTAATTGCTAAGGTAACTCAGTTTGTGTTAAAGTCAATTAAGTACTAGCAGCTAGCATAGTCAAGCGTGTAAGGGCTTATGGAATTATGTTTATGACGGCCATGATTCTTATTTGATATCCACTCATGGAACTCAATTATTTCCACCCATACCTCCTTCCACTACCACCAGAGAGTAGAGTAGGCATTTGTATAAAATGGAATTAATCCCTAACAATAATTCATAATTGTTTTGTGGATAATTTTTTAATAAGCTCTTAGTTTGATATTGGTATATTCAAATATTGGGGGGGGGGGGGGNAAGAGTAAACAACAACAAACTGTAAATATTATTTGTGCAAGGACCAAATTAGTTCCAAAAACATTGAATTTTACAAATCAACAAGCGTTTAAGCTGTGTGGCATGTACTAAGGTCGTGTCATATTTTTTACAAATATTTTTAAACTCCTCCAAAGATATCTAAAAGGCACCCACGAGCACCATTCACCAGGAAGAATCATGAGAGTGTGAACTACATTTTGTTAGCCTGTATTACTTTGTATTAATTTGTTGATTAAAATCTAATTGCTAAGGTAACTCAGAATACATAACACTTACCAAGAGTAAGTTCATGAATGTGGAGATTGTGTTTCAGCAGTGGGCAATGTCTCTGGGACACAACCGTTAGCCACCGGGGTTTCACCAGCAGCGATGCTGTCGCCCTCAGGGTGAGGACCATTAGAGGTAACGGTCTTTGGTTCTTTAACATCAGGTCCAGTTTTGGTTGAGTCGAGTACGACCTCGTTCAAAACTGCATTGGAAGGCTCGGAGCAGCTTAAACTTTCAGTGTCAATCCCATTCTCCGCAGGTTCACCGCCAGCATCTTCAAGGTGACCTGGCTGAGAGCCATCCGTTGACCTAACTCCCCCATCGTCAGATGGGCCAGGTGGATTGCTGGGAACAACAGACTCATTAGGCAATGGTTGCTGTTCAGCAAGAGAGTCGGCTTCTTTACCTTCAATGGGAACGTCTGGATCTTCCGTAGTTGAAAGGTCTTTTGGTGGTTCTATGACGGGGTGAAAAATTTGTTGTGAATTCTCTACTGCAATATTTGGACTGGCACTGGATTCTTCTTCCTTGGTGGCATTGACCGACTCAGCAGTACTTGTAGCTTCAACAGGCGTGTTGGTGTCCTCTACAGCTTCATTAGTTGGTTCAGAACTGACATGTGGTGCAGGAACACCTTCTTCAGCCTGGTAATTATACAAATTCAAAATGTTTGCAGCCCATTGAATGAAAAGCATTAAAAAGTCAATTAAAAGAAACAAGTAAGAGGAGCTTATATGGAGTGCAACATGCCCCGAGACAATGATACTGATCAATTCAATGGAATTTCAAAACATTTCTAGGAACACAATTGATAAAAACATTTTGATTTGAATAGGAATTAATGCAGACGCTATTTGATTCAGTTGTGATATAACACTAATAATAAGGGCTTTTAAATAAGTTATGAAGTGAGTGTCTAGAAAGAGTGCGAATTTACCGATTGAGTATCATTGGCAGACACAGGAGTAGACTCAATGGAGTCCTCAAACTGATCCTCTTCTTCTTCCTCCTCCACATTCTTCTTGACTTCCGAAGATACTGTGATCAGTTCAGGGGGAACAAATGGCTGGTCAGGATCTGGCATGACATCCTCTTCCTCTCTTCGCTTGGCAGCTTTGGTGGAGGCAGAAGACCCCGGGGAGGAGGTGACAAGGGAATGAGAAGGCGAAACTGGGTTGGGTGAGAGGTTTATTCCCTGGGAGAGGGGCAGTGGAGACGTCACAGAGCCTTGGGAGAGTGGGGATGTCGGGCCACCGTCGCTTGCCCAGTTCAGCACTTTGACATGCCCCGGTGGGGTCTTCATGAAATCTGGGGACGTGGGCAGGAACTCCGGGGCTTCAGGGTTGAGTCTGCACTCAAGGTGGAGATCCTTCCCATCAGCAGAGATGTCATTGTTGACACCTACGTAGTCCTCCTCCTGGGCACCAGAGGACTCTGTGCAATCCTCCCACTCCTCACTGTCCCCATAACTCTGTGAATGGGAAGACGTTCTCACCCTGACGTTATCAGGGGCTGGGTTGACCCCAGAAGGCTTCTGAGGCTCATCTTGGGGTAAAGGTGAAGATGAGGTGGCAGGCAGAGCCGTCCCCGTGTTATCGTTGGAAGACTGGTGACTTGTTTTGTCCTTGGTTGTGGACTTGGACTTGAACTGCTGCTTGCCTCCACCACGCGGCTGAGGCTGTTTGGGACCTTGGTTTGGCGTGCGACCCGTGGGCCCTCTACCAGGCGTGCTGGTTGCTGGGTAGGACTTGACGGGTGGAGGAGGTGAGCCTGGGAGATCCGCATCATCATACTCTACCTCGACACTGTTATCACCGGCTGTGTTATCAAATTTGACCAGCAGCAGCTCTTTCTGACACTCCACAAAACGGTCCTCTCCACCGGACCAAGTTCTGGGACGTGGAGATTTCTCCCCCGGCCCATTGCCCCGCCCACGACCTCTTCCTCTACCTCTTCCACGGCCACGCTGAATCTTAGCCTCCCCGGGTGAATGGTGGGCATGTTGGGGTGACTGCGGTGCCTGTTGGTCCGGATGGTGACGCTGTAGGTGTACCTGTGGCACGGTATCTGGCAACTGCAGCCCACCTGCAAACACATTTTAATTTTTTTGCAGTTACTATATTTTTACCCATACATAATTTAATTGATGGACAGTTTTAAAATTTTATACTTTAAACAACATAATAATGGTTTTAAAGTTTAAATTTACAATCTTGCACTATTTTAATATAATTTGGGTATTTTAAATATATTTTTGGAATTGCAAACAATGTTCCTTGCTGATTTTTCAAATAAAACATTAGTGAATATTTTGCATATTTCTAATTCTGAGAGATAAGTTTGTAATTTAGATACAATCAAAATAAAAGTCCAACATGAGTTAGAATAAACTAAGCCTTACAAGGATATTCAACATTTTAGATGAAATTATGAATAAAATTTTTAAATAACCAACAAGCAGATGCTTTATGGAATTCTAACAACTCAACATAATAAAACAAAAAGTTTAAACATTCAGAACTGAACAGAACAAGCTGATGAATAAAATATCAACTTAATATAATACAATAGCAACAAAAGCACCAACAAAGCCAGACTTGAGGGGAAACATGGATTACTTTGGCTCTAGTTAGGCTGAAAGAGATTTCATAAAATAAAAAATAATTTTTTAAAAATAAAATGTGTAGTCAGTTGGCCCAAAGACGGAGCCAATACTTTCATCTTAATACCAATGTTCCCCCCCCCCCCCCACAATCTTAAGCCCGTTCTCATTATTTTTCTTTGAAACACATTTACTTATTATTCATGGCATTTAGTAAGAAACTCGTAAAATGCAAAGAAATTTAATCAATGTTTTGTATAATATGATGCCTTAACAACTAGAAATTTTAACACCTGATCAGTATACATTGTTAATATAAATAATATCTCTAGGATACATCATTCATCTCATAGCCCCATTCTGATGTGCATGTATTAGTTTTTTAGGGTAGCAGGTTATTTATAGAACATAAACTTACATCGTCACATGCAGTATAATATTGACATATCCTTTATGCCAAAAAGACTTCTTTGGCCTAATAGCAGCAGTGGGTATTGACATTCTCAGGAATGTAACTCAAATACATGGTAACATAAAAAAATTAAAACGATATGCCTCTCTAGATAAGTTTTTTACCTTCTAAGCATTGTAACAGTTTGTGGCATTTCAATGAACGGTTTGGGGCAATTTAAAAGAATTTGATTTGAGCAATAAAGAAAGAACAGCTAACAAAATCCAAGTAAGTCTATTTGACCAGTGATCTATCCAAACACCAGAGGATGAAAGAAGGAGGGGAAATAACTGATAAAATAAAATTTTAAAAATCCATGCATCCTTTCTTTTAACATGCATGCCTTATTTTTGATTGTATCGGCTTACTAGAGACTCACTGAAAAGTTTGTCAGTTCACAAAATTATACCAAGCACAAAGTGTACAGATTCCTTTCTTCTGCCTTGAATTCATTTTTCTTTGAGTTTTAAAAATATTTTTAATGAACGTTAACTTAGATAAGCTGCTAACAGATCCAGTGGTAACCTCTCGCTCATTTGATTCTTAAGTTTTCTTTTAAAATAGGATGAGATAAAGAGACAGCAGTTTGCAAGGATAAATAAAAGAAGCAAGTTAGGGCTCCATTTCAGTCTGTTGCAAGACACCATCCACCAAAGGCAATTTATGTCCAATCTTCAGGCAGGACTTGACCAGCAGTCTTACATGATAAGCAATACGCACTTTATAAATGTGGCTTTGTCATTCTCAGAAAAGCTTTCATTTAAAGTTTTTAACTTTTAACTAGACGGCAATCGGTATTTCTCACCTCTAAAGAAACATTTTGAAAAAATGCTATTCTTTATAAGTACAGGAATAACAGATTAAGCACACGAACAAGAGGATGACAATGAGAGATTTCTGGAGATGTTGCAAACTAAATCATGATGACCGTGGTGAATGACAAACTCAAGGAAATGTGTCATGCCATTGTGTACCTTTCCCTATCACTGCACTTCTGGGACGCTCGTCTCTCTCTCCCCTGTCAAAGCGGCCACTACCTATGCGACCAGCTTTAAAATAAATAACATGAACGGCATTACCTTGACATCAGATTTCCAGCTCTTTGCATTATAATAAATTCTTAAGCTGTAAAAATTTTAATTTTCCAATCATTATCAGCATGACTACAACATTCAGGGCGCATTTTTGGTCAGGGTTTTATTCAAATGTAATACCCAATGCAGATGCAGAGAGGTCCGTTATCATCTATCTTTTCACAGAGGTATTGGTATTTGCTAAATAGAAATTCAAAATGAAGCTGATAAGCTTATCAGTAGAAAGACCAAGATGTTAACAAGGTCAAAATGGGCTAGAGATGGACTTCATTGTGAAGGTATACTATAACAGTTGCTTTTACAGTGTGTGGGACAACTGATATAGTACTGTATCTTCCATTTTTCATTTAAACGTAAGCCACAGGGGATTCAATGAGCATGAGTACTTGTATACAAAGCAGTATCAGTACTTGTGTACAAAACAGTACCAGTACTTGTGTACAAAGCAGTACCAGTACTTGTGTACCAAGCAGTACAGGCACTTGTGTACAAAGCAGTACCAGTACTTGTGTACAAAGCAGTACCAGTACTTGTGTACAAAGCAGTACAGTACTTGTGTACAAAGCAGTACCGTTACTTGTGTACAAAGCAGTACCAGTACTTATGTACAAAGCCGTATCAGTACTTGTGTACACAGCAGTGCCAGTACTTGTGTACAAAGCAGTATTCCCTAAAATAAAAATATCAACAAGAAATAAAACAATGTTAGATAATCCAACATTCTGATGTGCTCTTTATTTGTGAGGCCAGTGATCCTCCTGCTTTTCTAGTAGTGCAAAAAAAAAAAAAAAGTTGAGAAGTTGTTCATGTCCCTGTGCTGCATATGTGGTCCGGTCTAGTTATAAATGTTCATAGGTCACCTTTGTTGATACCACATCCTCTATTTTTTTTTATTATTTCATACTCAAAGAGGGTGATATAACAGCTCTTGTGATTCTCAAACTAATTTATAACATTATAACTTTTATTTTTTTCTAATTCAATAAAACTTTCTTCTTAAAGTCTGCATGCAACAATCCAACAAATATACCTATATATTTACAGACCTGGACGTTTGCCTGGCTCCAACCGAGATGAATAAGGAGAGGAGTCATCAGTCCTGTCAGATAATATGAACAAAATGTGTGGCATTATAGAAATATCTTATTGATCCATACAAACAGAAACACCTTCAAAGGCAAAGAGAAGCACACAATAATAATTTAATACAAGTCAACTCAGCAGTTTAAAATGTATTGCTTTCCATCACATCTTTTAATAGAAACACTAGCTATAATAATTAGAGAACATGCTTAAAAGACTTTGTGGCAAACACCCACCCTAATGGATATGGACATTCAACTCTACTTAACCTGAGGTAGCACCATCGGGTATCCCCTTTGGCTGACTCCAGATAGCAGACATAAAATAGCTATAGCCGACAGTGAAATTTGTTACAGTTTAAAAACTATTCATTTAAAGAAACCAAGAGGCTGATCAGTCTAAAATTATGCAGTATCATGTTTGTATAAAAATGATCTATTTAAGTAATTTTTTTTTTAAATATAACAGACCACATCCACTGACCAGTGTCCCCTACTTTACCTAAATAAACATCCAAAGAAACATTGTTTTACTAAAAGTTGTTTAGAGTTTACAGGTAAACACTTAAATCATTTTGCTAAGATTTACGTCTTAATAATTTTTTAGATATACAGAACACAATTACATAATAATAAAATGTTAGGAAAGAGAGGGTTAATTTAAATCTAAGAGTTAATCATGTTGGTGATGTGCACGCTTTATAAAAAAAAAAAAAACTAGGACAAATCGATTGACTTACTCTTGATTAACCTTCTCTGCGTCCCATGCACGTTTCCAGCTTCCCACGGTNTTTTAGATATACAGAACACAATTACATAATAATAAAATGTTAGGAAAGAGAGGGTTAATTTAAATCTAAGAGTTAATCATGTTGGTGATGTGCACGCTTTATAAAAAAAAAAAAAAAACTAGGACAAATCGATTGACTTACTCTTGATTAACCTTCTCTGCGTCCCATGCACGTTTCCAGCTTCCCACGGTGTTCAGCTGCCGCTGGATGCGCTCCTGATCGTACTTCTCCCTCTCTGCCTTCCATTCTTCATGGTTCCTCCTCTCCTTTCCTGTCATGACTATCTCCAAAGGTTTATTGCCGATGGGACGCTCTTTCTCCTTCAAATACAGAAAATTGATCTTTTGGGAACCTCTTAGTTAGGGTAGTGAATAAGTCATAGACCAAAAATACCATGCAAGTGAAAGAAAGTTTTCTTGGAATATACTTCCACATTTTATTAAGAAATGTTTTGACAACTTAAAGAAATACCCTCATCCTTCTTCTTTGCCTTTTTCAACTCCCAGGTGGAGCATAGGCCATTAACAGTAATATCTTTCCACGAAATCGGCTCTTGTGCGATCTTCTCTAACTCTTTCTTAAGTACATCCTTTTCTATCCCTCTGCACCTGATGTTCTCATTGGGGGGGGGNGGAAGATATATTACTATCAAGAATCAAAATTTTAAGTCTTGGGATCAATTTTATTTAATCTGTGGAAGTTCTTTTATGTTGTTTTGATCAAAATACCCCCAAGTAGGCCTATCATAACAAACTGACTCCCACTGATTACAACACCCCAACTGACCGTTAAGCCATCTACAAATCAAAGAAAAATCTTTGCATAAAAGCAAATAATTTAATGACTGCATTCAAGCTGTGTGAATGAAATAGAACAAGGTGTGTTGACGCTAGAATCAAAAGACAGGACAATAAGATGTGAACGTTTCGGCTTAGAGCCTTCTTCCTACTTTGAGGCAACAACAAAGGAGATCTCTAATTGTTTTACCGTGTTCTGTCTCTTGTCATACTTTAATTTGTCCTGTTCGCTGAAGAAGGCTCTAAGCCGAAACATTCACATCTTATTGTCCTATCTTTTGATTCTGGCTTCAACACACCTTGTCCTACAATTTCATGCATAAAAGAAAAAAGTAAGACTGCTGTAACAGAAGGGTTTGTATGTTCAGTTGGTTGCCATCAAAAGAAAGTCAGACTCATAAACTTGCACAGCTGGACCAGACAAGAGCACGCACCTTCTCTCTCATGTTCTTCATGGTCTTCTTGACCTGAGTCAGGTCAGCGCCGCCCCCGTAGTTCCTGGGGTGTCGACGGTGGTCAACCGGTTCCTCCTTCTTCTCAGAGCGCCTGCGATCTGCCAATGGGTTGAAGGAGGGATCTGGTGGGGGGCCCTGGAAAAGTCACCATTGAAAATATAACCATTGAAGAAAGTGAAATTAAAACCCCCCAAAGATGTACTATAAAGAGAGTTTATTAAGATTCTTGATTAAAAATTTCTTGTTTAAGATTGTAAGAGACTAAAATATAATAATTAAAGGACTGCATTCAAGCTAAGTAAATGAAATAGCAAAACGAGGTATGTGGAAAATTGAAAGTATCACAAGGAACAGAGCAGAGTAAACAACTCAAGAAAAATATCCATTGTTGTTGCCGGAAGTAGAGTAACAACAATGGATATTTCTTGAGTAGTTAACTGAGCTCTGTTCCTTGTGATATTTTCATTTGTCCTGTCGCCGAAGAAGGCTCTATGCCGAAACGTTCTAATCTTATTGTCCTGTCCTTAAATTCAAGCGTCCACATACCTCGTTTTGCTTTTTCATTAAGAGTGTAAGCAAGTGTTTGGTACTAACTTGTATGGGTGGTTTGTGTTTTTGTTACATTACTCCCTAATGAACATAAAAAAAAATATTGCACATTTAAGTACAGATTTCAATCAATTTTTACATTACTGTTTTTTTTAATAAGCACTACATTAATAGATGTACAAAGAACTCGTTACATGTTATTGAGTTTAAAAGTATGAATTTTGAATTCTTTTAAGGACCAAGATAAAAAAAAAAATAGCTAACACTGTGAGTTGTCCTTTCATAGGTTCTTGAGTATCTAATATACTTGTCTATAAGTCAAGGACAGTTTTTCTTTCTAATAATTGTGAAATATGCTTTGACTCATGGATAAATCGAGGGTAAAACTTGGAGGTATGAAATTCTGTGATTTTTATAATTTTGTCAGTTTACCTAGCAGCAGTCGATGCACTGTATAATAAACTATGGTCTGTGTCATTAGGACAACACCATCGAGTGACAGCCCCCAGGGTTTACCTAGCAGCAATCGCTGCCCTGTAAAATAAACTATGGTCTGTGTCCTTAGGCCTACACTATCGAGTGACAGCCCCGCCATTTATATCATTGTTCTCTCTCCTCCATATTATTGAGGCTCACAGACTCAGCAGTCAGTGATGATGCATGTGGCTTGCTATCAGATTTCAGTCAAGCTTCAACAGTTGTTTTTGTCTCTGTGTGTGTACCCGGCATCTGGGTCAACTTACAGCTACCAGTTAGTACACTAGCACTACCGGTAACTCGATACTGCCCCGCATTCCATGTACGAAATTCAATCGAAACTAGCACCATTGACCCATGGGTAGGTCGACTCTGTGCTTTAAACTGAAGTTTACCACTAAAATTTCTTGAACTATACACAGGTTTATATGGTAGCTATAAGATACTAAAGTGTGGTACAACGGGGGGGGGGGGGGGGGGGGGGGGGTGTCTAAGTAAAAGTCTTGTCACATCACCTTCTTGAAGTCAGCCAAAATTAATTTAAAATGACTGATATACGGATGTTTCTCCTCATAGAGATGGGAATAAATCATGTTTAAGATTGAAACTAAAGAGACACCCCTGTTATCTTTACATAGCTATGGTCTTATCAGTGAAATGTTTTTAAGATGTGATGTCCTCATAGGGACTGTGTGCAGCAGCAACTTACTTCATTGTCTTTGAGTCTCCCTTTGTAGACTCTGCCATTGGTGGTGCCCTGGGGCTGCATGCAGGGAGGAAATAAATGGTAGTTAGTAGCTGGCATGCAAAAATGACGCCTTGTGTGTTACCAAACTTTAGCCATTCACCAAGAAAGGTCAGATGTCAGTAGCATATTCAAAAAGCGAAATGAATGCATGACCTTTTTTTAATAATAGATCGCTTGATAAATATAAAGCATGGTAAGTGGTGTTGATTTCTAAAAGAATTGAGTTTTTAAGACTATTTTTATAACTATCTTGATAGATTTTCTCATAAACACTAACATCAAAACTAAACATTTACAACCCAACAACCATAAATAATTTTGTTTTATTAATAAATTTAAAAAACAGCTCTCCTTTTTTTTATAATTATATATATAAATATATATATATATATAAATATATATATATATATATATATATCTCATTTTGTCTTTTTTACATTTTAAATTGCTTGAATTATGTTTACTAAGAACAGCACTTGTACTTGAAATGAGAGTAGAACTCACACTATCTTCTTGTGTTCCGCCTTCATTCCTGTTATCTCTTGAATTTTGTTTGTGGCCATATTTTCCCTGAAATCAACACAAGCAGGCAAGCATGCCCAGAGTGGTCAAAAAGTATGCTCAAACAAGAGAAAAGGTCAATCACCGAACACATCATCACGAGAACTTAAAGAAGATTTCTCAGCTTGGTGGCCAGAGAGACCTGACAAAACTCATCAAGTGCCGTTGACTATAACATGTGTCAACTACTCCAACCCATGCGTTTGAATTATTGTGTTAAAAACGGCACACGTAACAAAAAGTGATGTTATTGAGTTACCCTACACATAGTAAAACGGCTTTAAGCTTTTTTAATGAAACGAACAGCAGCCAGTGATGATCATAATGTTTGGGAAGGGAAAAAATGACTTGAGAATGGCAATAGTAAAAGTATGCATCTCAGGGGTGTTCCTTTTGCACTACCAGTTGGGGGAAATAGTGGAATAAATGTATAGGATCATACACATCAAATTCTTTTGTACAGTATTTATGGAGGTTCTAATCTAAAAAATGAGAGTATACACCAAAAAGACTTAGATAATTCAATGAAGTTTTTTTCTTCTCATTTGAGTTTGTTCTTATTTAAGACACATAGTTTTGAAAGACATTAACATATCCAATGAAACTATAAGCAGGAAAAACTTTCCTCAAAAAGCTGGTGTAATGGAATGATTCAAATTCGGATGGTGAAATGGAGTGGTGCCATAATGGATATGAGTTAGCACACATGGCTACAAAAATTCTATTATGGAGTTGTTGTTTTTTTAAACAAATATAAAGATAAATTTAGGCCACAACCCTGATATATATATTTGGAAGACTCAACAAATGCCGGGATCTACTTGCATTAAAATCAACGTGACGTTTTGTTTTCCATACAAACTTCAAGTCAATATTTCATACCACTATTTTGTTTGAAGATCATCTTATTTAAACTATAATGATTAAATAGTGTACTTACATCCTCATGCACTCTATAGGGTTTGCGTTGCTCAGAATGACTTCCCTACATAAAATGACAGGAATGATGTTATGAAAATAAATGCATTAGAAACAAAAATCACCATTTCCCCAAGCAATCGAAACAGCAGGCGTAATGCAAAAATTAAAAGAATTATAAGACTGGACTATTTTTTTTATGATCCTAAAATTGAACAATTGACGTAGCCAAATGGTTTCATATTTTAAACTGAGCAGTTTCTAAAAAAAAAAGGTCATGTATCAATGAAATTTATACTTTGTTTTGTATGTATCAGAAAAATGTTTTAGCTAAATTAAAAAACTATATGAATCAGCCCCTAGAAAATGGAGCAAGGGATATTTAACAGCACAATGATGGAAGCAAAAAGTACTATGGTAAATGTCCAAGTTCTAGCCTTGACGAAGCATGTAAATATGAAAATTAGATTTCAGCAGTGTAAATGCTGAAGTATGGTAATTATGTCTATTTTCCATATGAAAGACAGCTTTTCAACAATTTAAGCATTAGTTAAAGATTTACAGCAGACAGGGTGACTAAAATAGAACCTCTGAGGTATTGATTAAAGAATTAAAAATAACATTATTTTTAAAGCTTAAAATATATGGGGGGAGGGGGGGGGTTGTTTTAAACACAATAATCATTTCAAGCTCATAAATTCTAGTAAGAGCAACACTAAAGAAAAAAAAAAGAGGAAGTGTCACTTGTAAATAAAGTTAGTGATCACTTCATTTTAGCAGGAGATTAACACACTCACACCTAATGCACTTGGTTTTAAATAATAACTAATTAAAGCAAAGAATTCATTGACATAGGCCAATGCTTCACGCACACAAAAAGATGTAGGATGCGGAAAGCTGGTACTTTAATTTTTTTTTAACCTTTTAGCTTTCTTAACATAATATATGGGGGGAGGGGGGGGGGTTGTTTTAAACACAATAATCATTTCAAGCTCATAAATTCTAGTAAGGGCACCACTGAAGAAAAAAAACAGAGGAAGTGTCACTTGTAAATAAAGTTAGTGATCACTTCATTTTAGCAGGAGATTAACACACTCACACCTAAGGCACTTGGTTTTAAATAATAAATAATTAATGCAAAGAATTCATTGACATAGGCCAATGCTTCACGCACACAAAAAGATGTAGGATGCGGAAAGCTGGTACTTTAATTTTTTTTTAACCTTTTAGCTTTCTTAAAATAATTTACATTTTTGGGGACATTTTTAATATGGTACCAAAACTGCATAAAGGTGTGGCATATTTGTTTATATTCTTTCTTATTTTATTAAAATTTTAATGTATCACAGTATGACTCTCCAAAAGACAGAAACTGATTTTGAACAGTAAGATTATTTGTCAGTCAAAATTCTAAAAATAAATTCTCTGCACATGGTATTCAACTTTAGAAAAATGACATTCTGGCTTCAGTGCTCATTGAGGATATATTGAATTGAAAGTGTTAAAATGTGCAATATTGGTGATAGAAAGTACTGTACAATTTGCACAACTAATTGTTAGCACTGCAACAAGAAGTTTACATTTGAAATATGCACATCATGGGGAGAAAAAAATACACACCAATAAATTGATTGAAAGTTGCTACCTTGGATAGGGGTTTACTACCCATACTAACTAAATCATTCAAATATTTTGGGTGCTTTAAGAGATTCTATGCAACAATGTCATACAAACTTTGTTTTTGAAAAAAAAAATTTAAATCACACATTTTTTGGTCAATTTTAACACATCTGCATGAATTTAAATATTTTGAATATTAAATATTTTTAGATAACCTTTATAAATAAAATTATTTGAAACTGTGCGAATAAAATAGAATTAAAATTCAAAATAAAAGTGAGTCGTTTGTAGTTTGTGTTAAAGTCAATTAAGTACTAGCAGCTAGCATAGTCAAGCGTGTAAGGGCTTATGGAATTATGTTTATGACGGCCATGATTCTTATTTGATATCCACTCATGGAACTCAATTATTTCCACCCATACCTCCTTCCACTACCACCAGATAGTAGAGTAGGCATTTGTATAAAATGGAATTAATCCCTAACAATAATTCATAATTGTTTTGTGGATAATTTTTTAATAAGCTCTTAGTTTAATATTGGTATATTCAAATATTGGGGGGGGGGGGGGNTAAATATTATTTGTGCAAGGACCAAATTAGTTCCAAAACCATTGAATTTTACAAATCAACAAGCGTTTAAGCTGTGTGGCATGTACTAAGGTCGTGTCATATTTTTTACAAATATTTTTAAACTCCTCCAAAGATATCTAAAAGGCACCCACGAGCACCATTCACCAGGAAGAATCATGAGAGTGTGAACTACATTTTGTTAGCCTGTATTACTTTATGATCATATGTCCATATAAGATATGATGAGGAACAATGAATGCCCCATAGATGAAGGCACTCACGTGAAGGCTCCTGGAATCGTTCCAGTGTTCAGAAGGCTTAGATAAGGGCCCAAATCGTTTGTCCAAGTCTTTCATATCTATGATGGGCTCATACTCAAAGCTGCTAGGGCAAGAGGGATCCTGTGCACACAGTTGTCGGGTTTAAAGACATTAATGACAATGTAACAAAACTAAAACAGCTGAAACGGGTGATTAGGCAAAAAAAAAAAATCTTTTGAGCAGAGAGTATTATTTTTTAAACTTAATCCAAACTGCCCTGTATAACGTGAAAAAATCTGAAGAGATTTATAGATAATGTAATAAATTTAAAGTTCTAATATGTTAAAAGCTCTTGTTTTCAACTCAGCCTCTAACAAGGCATTAGATTTCTTTTTCAATAAGCCGGAATTTGATTTTCTGCTTGTATTTTCAACTACAAGCCAATAAAAAATAAAGCTTTGAAAATCACCTGTTTCAAATGGGTTGTAAGGCAGCTAATATTCCACAGAACAATAAATAATATTACCCAAGCAGCTACATTAAATAAACTTTAAGGCAGAATGAAATGTTAATCAAATGAAAGTGTAACTATCATAAGTATGTAACAGTAAAATAGAGGGTATCAAATGATATCAAAATGTGCAAAATTAAGCAAAAGGTGAAAATGATTTTCTTTTAAAACAAAAGAGAAAGTAAAATTCTTCATGTTATATTCAAAACCATTTACAACTCTATAAAATGAGAGGGCTGGAGGAAAAGTTTGGGGGGTGGGATCATCTGATGAATGATTAAGGATCAACACTAAGAATACTAAGATATAATGACATATCAGCCCCAAGATGTAATGACTTATCAGCACTAAGATGTGATGATGTTTATGTGAGACCTTCAAGCACACACACACAAAGTAAGCTAGCAAAAAAACATGAAAGTAAAACTGTAAACCACTTGCTATCACCTGTGTATAACTCTGAGATTCATTGGGAGCATCCTGCATGAGGGACAAGCAAGAAATAGTGTGAGAAACTGCTATATATGAGCTCTTAATAATGGGAAAACTAATATTAAGTCTCAAAACTGACCTAGGACACAGTTAACAATTTTCTCAGCTATTATTATGAAATGTATTATTAAATGTATGCACATCAAGAGAAAAGAAAAAGAAAAAAAATTACTAAACTATACATTTGATTCAGAGACTACTCTTTTTTTTTTTGTTGAATAATCTGTAGTTATTAGTATTAGAAAATAATAATAAACAACATTCAATGATAATAAACAATTACTAATTCAAATTTTTTTTTGCCATAAAATTTGAATAGTTTTTATATGAGCAATTACTTTTTTGCCCCATATAACTAACACTAACATAAATACATGGCTGCAGTTCTCATCACTTACAAGTGTTTTTTAGTCTCACCTAAATGTTACTTTTAAAGACAGAAATCATTTTTAACTATTCTGAAATGTGCAATTTTTTCAACACATGTAACTGATGGCTTAGTTGGGGGTCGAGAATCGTAGACTCATGAATATGCACAGCAGTAGTTAACATGCCATTGATACTTATTAATTATTTAATTTACTATCTTCCCTTCATTGAAATTACATGTTTTTCCTTTAATAAGGTTTTAAGCAATTTAAATAAAAGAAATGAAAGGAAAAAAATGGATTAATGTAGACATTTAAACATACTTTTCATAAGACAAATTATGCACAAGATGCATGTCCTTTTGATATATTAGAACCTCAACTGCCGGAGAACAGAAAACACTAAACAGAACTACTTAAGAAAACTATGGCCTACCTCTTCTTTTGCAGGTTTCCTCCTGCTCTTGGGTGTGCCAGATGGCGCTTCAAAATCTGGCCGATGCTGGTTGTGTCCTCCACGGCCTCGCCCCTTGTGTTCATGCTTGTAATTGGCTAAATCTGAAGTGTCCACAATGGGTTCATAGTTTAGCGAGTCACGAAAATCCTAGAAATAAGAAATATACCAACATGGTAGCTCGTTTGACATAATGGCTCGTTTACAAGGATAAATAAAAAATTGTGTTTCTGGACTGAATTATTTTTACATCCACCTTATCAACTTCTTCTTGACAGTTGTATCTCATTTAAGCTTCAAGTTAGTATTATTAGACATTTGTTTAATATCTTTTCATTTGGACATGATATCCTGTTTGATAATAATCTGAAGCATATGTATGACATGAACATGTCCATGTCTGACGTTGATACAAATAACAAACTGATTTATAAAAAAAAAGTCATAAACACAAAAATACCCCAGAAGACTTGGGCCGCTCTCTCCCAGGCTTGTTGCCCTCCTTCTGGTTGTTCAGGCCTCTGCCGCGCCCTCTTGGTTTAAAGGCACCCTCAGCAGGGAGCGTCTGGTCATATAAATGGAAACTTCATAAATGTGTAGCAGAAAATTTAATAATCTAGCAATAATCACCTTCAAAACAATTAAATTAAGTAATTAAGGACATGTTTAAAAAACAACAGTTGCAGTATCTTTCTGTGATGTCCTTTTCTAATTTAATCTAAATCACTGGTGAACATTAGAGAGATACAAACCTGGCTATCCACAGCTGGTTTCACAGCTTGGCCAGATTCTTCTGCTTTTCTTCTGTCATCCTCAATAAGCTGTAGAAATAAAATTTTAAAAATATAAAAACTTTTTTTTTTTTCCAATTTAAATTATTTTCTAAAAATCAGATTGAATGTAGATCATTGCAATCAATTTTATTATAACACAGGTAATCTAATCTAATAATCATAAAAGAAATAAGTCATTAGTGCCCGTGTTTTACATGACCATCCCTTCATTTAAAACTGAAACAGTTCAAACATCTGTTTTTTGTTTCTAGCCCCTTCTAAATTTGTTAGAATAAAAATATCAGTACAACATGAAGAGATAATTGTTTTATTCAATAATTAAGTGGACTCCATTTGGTAAATTTCAGTTTAGTGATTTAGGATAACAACAAATATGAACTTGCATATAGTTTTTAATAAGCTGTTAAAATCAAGTATTTTTAACAAATAAATACCACAATGATAAAAATGTACATTTTGAAGCTCTAAATAAACTTTAATACCAACTTTTTTTCTACTTCATGAAGAAACATTGGTAAACTTATGTTTTTAAAAAAAAGCTGCTTCAAAAAAAAAATCTAGTCTAACCTTATGTCTTTCTGTGAGAGCTTTGTTTCTTTGGCGTATCATGTCCATTTTTTTGGACAGTAGAGCTTCTTTTTCCTCTTTAGTGAGGAAATCTAGATTCACATCTGTGTCAGCCTGTCATTAGAATAAGTAAAGGTGCAAGGACATGCTATCAAAATATATTTTGCAAAAGTTGGTGAAATTAAGCTTAAATTAATACAGGATGAATACATAATTTTCGTAATATTTAAATAAAAATTAGACACAAATTGTAAACAAATAGTTTGACAAAATCATCCCTGAGCAAACAAATTTTTTTTTGCCTTCCAATATGGTTTATGCTTGTTCAAAAACTGATCCTACATATTTAGGGTTCATAAAACCAAGTAAAAAAAAAAAAAGAAATGAACAAAGAATTGATTACGATATTCCAGAAGTGTAATTTTTTTTAAACTAGCTATGTTCATGGTTTCATTTAAAATCACAAAGAAAACCATTGTAATTAAAAAATTTAGCTATCACAGAGGGTCTCAAACTTTTTTTTGGCCCTCACCCCTTTGCATCATAAGCCTTTCCCTAGCGACCCCCTGTGTTACTCTCTACCAAAAATATCCAGGAAAATAGTTACAACTCTATCTGGATGACAATACCATGGTATTTGTAAATGAACTTTTAATTGATATATAATAATTCAAATTTCTGAAGCTCTGCCTTTAGCTGGAATTATCTATTCATCAAAAAAAAAAAAAAAAATGCTTCGGCAACTAAAACTGGATCCAAAATTTCAATTAAAGAAGATCATAAAATCGCTCATACACAATTTATGTACAATATTCAAAACTATCTGGTATAGTTAAGCATTAGTGTTACTAATGGACACAGACTGCACCAAATGGAAAATTTTACTATGATCACTCAAATCCTTTTCAAAACAAAACAGGGTGCCTGCAGATCAGGCTACCACAAGAATTTTTCTTTTTAAAACATTCTACAATGTCAAATGGCTTCTAAAATCGACTTACACACTGGTATTATAAAAGTCAATAAACTTCCAGTTTTTATCCACTAGATGTTGGCCATGAATGAAACAAAGTACAGATATCAGGTACTTTTGAAAATAACAAGGTGGTAACAACCTGTCGTTGAATGTGAAGTTTTCGTTAATTTGTAAGTATTCAAACTTATGCCAGTCCCACCACACAGTCACACCAGAGTTGCACACCAGACAGTCCCACCACTCAGTCACACTGCATAGCCCCACCCCTCTCCACTATAAAAATAACATTTATCTGCCTTCTGAATTTAGACAAACTTTTATAAAAACAAAGACATGAAATGAAACAATCTAATACTAGTTAGATTCTACCAGTCAGCACAATTGGGACCATCTCTGACAAAGCATTGCACTCTAATTTAAAATATATAATATAGTTTGTAAAACTGACAACAATGAGTAATATTTACCTATAGGTCTATAGGTATCACCAGCTTGAATAAACGTTATCATTTATTTTCTTATTTCTGAGTCCAGTGAATGTGTAGAAAAATATGTTGATGGCTCCTCTTTAAAGAGCATTCACCACTTTTGTACACTTTATTGATTACTAATTAAATATTTCTAGTTGTCAATAGCCCCTTGTACTGTTTGACAGATGTCTATTAATGACTATTCTAATGTTTGACTGATATCTATTCATGACTTATTGTAATGTTTGTCTGATGTCTATTCATAGCTCTTTTAATTTTTGACTAATGTCTATTCATGGCTTTTGTAATGTTTCACTGATGTCTATTTATGAATCTTGTATTGTTTCCCTGATGTCTATTCAAAGGCTGTTACTATTAATGATCTAATAAATGTAAATCTTTTTTTTTTCTTCAAATTTTATGTAATTTTTTTTTTTTTTTTTTTTTTTATTTTTTTTTTTTTTTTTTTTTTTTTTTTTTTTTTTTTTTTTTTTTTTTTTTTTTTTTTATTTTTTTTTTTTTTTTTTTTTTTAATTTTTTTTTATTTTTTTTTTTTTTTTTTTTAAATAATCCATTGCCCCTAGGTATTTCAAGCACTCCTCAAAATCTACTGAACTTTTTTTCACCCTCACCCCTTCACTGGACCATCCCACCACCCTTGGGGGTCTGTACCATCCAATTTAAGAACCACTGAGCTATAAACATATTATTTTTTAATTAAATTTGTTTGAATTCCAGTCATCAAATTTATTTTTAGAAAAGAATTAATTAAGAAAGATTATTTGACCAGAACAATTTCTTTTTGTTGTTGGCACACTTACTGTTATAGCTGACTTTGGCCGAGCAGCCATTTCATGCAGCTGATTGTACAGATGTCTAGTGCCTTTCCCACCTTCTTTGTTTTAGGCTACGGGCCCACTGCTGAAAAGTAGTGTCTGCAGAGAGACAGAGAAGAATGGCTGTTATGGTTCAGTGGCATGAAAAAATGTGAAATTACATTTATTTTTCAAAACATTTAAATTTAAAATGTAATTAGTGATGGAAATTAATTTGACATAAATAAACCATTTCATTCCATCATGACCCTGTTAAAAGGGTGAAAACAAGACACCTGAAATGTATTTGTTAAAAGCACACACAACAAGAAACACAAGTAATACAGCAACCAGTGACACTAGCTATTTTTATTTAACAGTAAAGACACGTTGGTACATATCTTTAATTGTAATCAGACTGCCTTGATGAAATGTAAGGGTGTACTTTAAAACCTTTCATATTAATGGTTTTCATTCTTTAATACAGTGGTTATAACGTTAGTTTCTTGAAGTGTCAAGTATTAAGGAGTACAATTAATGAAAGATCAGTTATCAAAACTTCCCCCATCATTCAAACATTATAATCTAACTTTAACAACAATAACTCACAGAGAATGAATGGATGATGGTAAGGACATGACCTATAAAGCTTTAAGAGCAGATCAAATAAGTATGGACACCTGAACAATCTTATGCTTTGGGAGTTGGGAAAGTCAAAACCAGGTGAAATACCAGCACCTCAGACAACCAGAAAACAGATTTGTATACCCAGTGAGACAAGAGATTATATGTGGAAGTCATCTTCAAAACCCAGGTGTTAGGAAACTAAGAAATACCACAGAGTTTTCCCACCTTTCTTTGTTTCCAAGCCTGGTAGATGGATTGTTGAAATTGGGATGGTTGTGGGAAAGAAAGAGGGCGATGAATGAAATATTAACCAGTGAGTCAGTTGAAAGGGGAGAGTTTTGCCAAGCATTCTGTTATTTGATTTAGAATGTGAATTAAAGACAAATTTAATTAACAACCTTGAGGTAAGGCGGTGAGGCATGACTCAATTGCACAATCCGCAAATATTTTAGGCAGACGTCATTTTCATTAAAGAGCATTAAACTGAAGAGCTTTTGCCATCTTGATTAGGTCAGATGTAAAGCTCCACTTCAACTAACACTTGGCGGCATCAGGATTTGAGGTACTGAACTGACTACACCTCCATATTTTCAAGTGGATCAATGAATGAAGGGGGATCACACGTGTGGACAGAGAAGGCCGTTCACCTGGCAACGTGAAATCAAAAAAGCCCCCTACAGGGGATAAGGCCCAAGCCAGTAATACTATTTGGAAGGTTTCAAGAGGTTAACTTCTTGTAGTAGCTCAAAATAATGAAACTGCTGATCAAATCTCTTTTTTTTTTTTTAAATTAAAACATTTCAAATTACAGTGTTTAACTTTTTTTGTTTAAACTAGTTTTTAAAAAACAAAACAACCCCAAAAAACGTATTTACCATCACGTTATGTTGAGTAAAATCAAGATTCTGAAAAAAGGGCGGGCTACAGCACAGCCGTAAACGCGTGCATCTGACTCGGTTTTATTAACAAAATTCTTTAATCATCGAGCACATAATGCACAGGTTTTTCTATGCACACATTCGGGTGACACGGGCGGCGAGACAAAAATCATGGGGACAAAATGTAACAAGGGTGTCCCGGTCGTTTTCCCCAGCCAACCATTGTTAACTGATTAGTGGAACTAAAGTTAGATCTAGTCAAAGGCTGACGACACAGCCAGTATGACTTACCGACCAACTCGATGAGAGAGATGGAGATTTACGGCGCGTAAATGAAGCGTGACAGTTACCTTGTCTTCGTCACCGGCAAGTGGTGCAGCGTGTTGATTAAAACATAAACCGGTTTATCCAACTGCCTCACGTACGTCAAAATGAAACACATTGTTTTAACAATACACTCCAAACACATGGTCTAATCCAGGGCATGAGTTATGTCCTGCCCAAGTCAGTGAACTGAACACGTGGTCTAATCCAGGTCATGGACTGTATGTTGTCCCAGGCGGTCAACTAAACATATAGTCTAATGTATGTTGTCTCAAACGGTGAACTGAACACCAGGTCTAATCCAGGACATGGACTGTATGTTGTCCCAGGCGGTCAACTAAACATATGGTCTCATGAATGTTGTCCCAAACGGTTAACTCGACACGTGGTCTAATCCAGGGAGTGGACTAGCCTATAGGTCGTCCCAGACAGTGAATAACACGGTGAACGAGAAAGAATGCTACTGTAGACATTCTCCTGGATAATGATGCTTGGCATCTCACAACTTGGCCGTAACGCGGCATTGACTAAACATTGCAGCGTGGTCTAGCACCGGTGGGGTGCGCTTTTGGTTAGGCCAGCAGGCGGCAACACTCGCTCGGTCTCAGGAAAGTTTGGGACGCACGGAGCAAATGTTGAACGAAGCAGCTGAATGGGGACTCTGATAACACAGTGACTGTGTCCGACTTTGGCTCCTTGGCGACCTCGGTCCTGACCATAATATAAAAAGTATATACGCCCGAACACTTCCGGCACCCGCATACTTACGTCTATCGATCGGAATCATCCCATACAGTACCGTGCAAAATTGATGGCTAACGTGATGTAGGCCGCGGGGAATATAATAACGTCATTTTTCATGAAAAATAAATGTTTAAATCTTTAACTGAGAGGGGGGGGGGGGGTTGGGGGCGCTGGTCGCATGTGTTAGATGTCATGTCAATTATAAGAGATTGGCTCATCCACTGTACACTCTTTAAGCCGTCAAGATTCATGTGGTCTTTTAAGTCAATGTTATCAGGCCCGTTCTTAGCCATACGCTGACTACGCATCCGCGTAGGGCCCCGAACGTGAGGAGGCCCCCGTGAGGCGCCCTCGATATATGTCCACATATTTCAGAAGTACAAATTTTCTGTAGTGGCGGAATTATCAATACGGTTAGTGGTTACACGCGAGCAAAGAGGAAACATTGATGAAGGCAGAATGGAGGTGCCGCAATGGTGGGTGGTGTTTTCTCCTCAGCTCGAGGGCGCTCCACCCCCGAACCCCCCCCCCTCTTTCGGGGCCCCCTACCTACGCTCCATGCTTAGGGCCCCCAAACTCCTAAGAACGGCTCTGATGTTATCTATGACACATGGACACCAATATCAACCTCGGCTCTTCTTCTATCGCAAACAATAACTTAGTATTTAGTCTACAGCAAATAATAACTTAGTATTTAATTCGATACATGTTTAAAATTCCAATCTCCGAAAATACTGTAGGGAGAAATTTAGCCCCTACCCCCACCAAAAAAAAAAATTAAAAAATCGCCCCACCAACCCACGTTATTATTCCCCCCCCCTTTTTTTCCTAGCATATTAGATACGCCAAGGCAAACCCCCACTTCGACAGTTCTGCAGCTGAACCTGGTTCCAATTCCACCAGGTAAACAGAACGTTCGACTCCTACTACTAAGGCTAATCAGAAGGAAGACAACGGCTACAGTGGAGGCGCGATGTCACGGCTGGGAATCGCTAACCTAAATACCTGAAGATTATTACGACCATAAACATGAAGGGAAAATGATGGAATAGTAAACAATGGGGGAATCCAGAAATTAAGGCGGAATTATTTTATTGAGGGGGGGGGGGGGCTCTGGTGNGCATTTTTTTAAAAAAATGTATGTGTTAGTTGTTAAGTTGTGTTGGATGCATCTACCTGGGTGGTGTGTGTGTGTGAAAGTGGGGTGTCTAAAAGGAGGGTGGGGGTCTCGGTAGGTGATGTTTGAAGTTGCCCTTAGTTGTGATTGATGTCCCCCCCCCCCTTCCCAACCCCAAATCAGTAGAAAAATGTAGTGCCGATATGTGGGGTAAAAGAAAGGTGCATGGAGTTCTATCACAAGAACACAGAACTAAAACAACACAGGTTCGGGCGGGTCCGTGTGTAAAGATGCCGAACGTTTGTAGCCAATGTCTGCATGCTTTCCAGGTAGGCAGCGGAAATGAGCCTCGAGCACTCGCGTCTTGAGTTCATCGCCTTGCCATTAACGTCACGTCCAATAGGTATAGGCGTAACTAAAATAATGACCAGTGGGGCTCTGCCCCCCCCCAAACTGTGGACCAGTACGCATGCAGGAAAAAAGTGTTTCCCTCCATGTACCGGTATGTTGACTAAAGGAGTGTGATGAATGATGTCTGTCATTAAAGACGAAATTACCGGTACAGGTAATCAAGATAAAATTCACTGTATTCAAGATGACCTATTATTGTAGCTACTAGCCTTCAAAGTTAATGATATTCCGACTATATCAATAGCATGTATTAAATTTAAAGAATGCCTTTGATCCTTTTTTTTTTTTAATCCAAACTTTTTGGCAAGCAATTTATCATAATTATGATTACAGCCAAAATTGCAAGGATTTAACACTGATGCTCTCCAATATGATTTTATCAATACTTTGCTTTTGGGGAATGGTGTCTTGGCCCAAATTCACATTTTTTAATTAATTTTAAATATAAATATTTATTTTTGTCAGATTTTCTTTTTTTTTTTTTATGATATTTTTTTTCTACTGCACATTAAAAGAAAGTCGATATTCATAATTTTGCTATGAGTTTAGTGAGACTATCATGCAGTCTCATGTGATTGGTCACGCCAGGGGTGTTCTTTGCATTCAAAGTAACAAAAAGGTTAAGAATCCTACTTTAGGAGTTTAAGACTTAAGGTAAATGAGAAATGAATCACAGAATGGCAGGTGCTGCTTGCATGTTGTTGTTTTGTTGTTGTAGGGCAGAGCTCTATATCCCTTGGCTATCAATGTTAGAGTAAATTAAAGTGAAAATATTGGGTGAGCGGTATGGGTTTTGCCAAGGTTAAGCGCAGTGACGTCACTTTGGGTGATCCAAAACCTGAACTTCGGTTGACAAGACCAACAGTTGGACCTGAATAATGGGCATGATGACTTTCCTGTTCTTCAAGGAGCATTATAATGGGATTATAGGTAGGGATTGCCAGTATTTGAAATAATCAAATTAAATTTTACATTCTTTTTTTTAAAAATAAAATTCATATTAAAAAGTCTTTAAAAAAAATAAACTCATCCTCGCTGACAGTCTGTTAAAAAGACATGCTTATTGCTAAAGTGCTGTCTTTTAATTGGCAGAAACAAGAAATACAATTATGCCATTCATTTCTATCATGTCGCCATTTCATGATACATTCATGATACATACACCAGTGGCGCTACGGCCTATTTTTTTAGGGTCCTGGGCTCATGACTGGCCTTAGCAATATTGGCACCCCAGGCTATTCAAAATTTTGGTGCCACTTCCTCCAACAGATTTTCAGGTTGATAATTAAAAAGATGCTGTTTGACAAGACTGAAGATAAAAGTCCTAAAATAGCAGTCTTATTCTGTCAATTAAGTACATATAATAAAACATTATTACACTATTTAGATCTTTATATGGAGCATTAAAAACTAACAGTATTTAGATCTTTATATGGAGCATTAACAACTATCTAAAAGCATTATCTTTTAACAGAACCGTACAATGTTATAGTGTTCTAATTATTAAGTACCCGGTACCATTTATTTTGTATCTTTACGCTTGGTCTACTAATTTAAAGAAATTTCAGTAAAAAAAAAAATCCACTCCAGTTATTATCAACTAGTTACAGGCTGCCAAATAATGGCGGTGGTAATGCATGAACTTCTATCTACTATAGTTACTTGAAAAAGATGCATTCAAGAGAAGCACTTCACGTGAAAAGATCCTGGTGGACACCCCAAGAAAGTCATTGTTGCTCGACCCTCTTCCGGCAGGGCTGTTGCACAAATGTTTGGATGAAATTGAAATAGTCCCTATCATTTATGATACTAGTTATGACTGGTATTGTTCCATCTGCTTTTAAAGAGGCGGTTGTAACTCTACTGCTAAAGAAAGCAAATCTCAACCCAAATGTGTTGGAAAATTATCACCCCGTCTCTAATCTAACATTTGTATCCAAAATCTTAGAGAAAGTCGTTCTCCGCCAACTCCTGGATCACCTCATTCAGTGCGACTTGCTTGAGCCTTTCCGGTCAGAATACAGGGCGCATCACTCTACAGAGATAGCCCTGATGCGCGTCTTAAATGACCTTCTGTCATCTTGTGATGAGGGCCAGGTATACCTTTTGTCGTTATTTGATCTATAGGCAGCGTTCGATACGCTTGACCAAGGCATACTTCTCCAACGTCTGCAAAAAACGTACGGTTTCACCAATACCGCTCCGAGGCGGTTCCTCTCATATTTGACAAATCGGATCCAATCAGTTATCGAAAATGGCTTGACCTCAAAGCTAAAATCTGTAAATAACACACCCTCCCTTCCTCTCTAAGGTGTGCAGATTGAGTTTGCTCAAACAGTGCAAAACCTGGGTGTCTACTTGGACAGAACTTTTATCAGAACTTTTTTAACATTTGATGCATCGAAGAGGCTGATGTCTGCATTCGAACTATCACACATGGACTACTGCAATGCTTTAAGGTGGGTTTTCGGGCTAAGCTCCTGGATAGAATTCAAAAAGCACAGAATAGTGCAGCTCACATTGTTCTGTGCAAACGCAAATTTGACCATTCTGAGAGAGCTGCATTGGCTGCCGGTCTGGGCTCGCATAGAGTACAAAATTGCAACTCTGTGCAATCGCTGCTTGCACGACCTGACGCTGTCCTATCTCAAAGCACTCATGACGCTTTATGTACCCACTAGATCACTCCGTTCATCCGATAGTGGCAAACTCTGGATACCGTGAGTCCGCCTAAAGACCTACGGAGGTCGCATTTTCACTTTTGCTGACTAAAGAATCTGCGACGGCCTTCCTGTCGCTTTCAGAAACAGCAAGATTCTGCAGTCTTTCGAAACTGAGTTGAAAACACATCTTTTTCGCACTCACCTGCTGGGATGATGTAGTCTACCTCCTTGTTTCCAAGGAGCTTGCTTGTATTCCTCGATGTATACTGGCTTGTATGTAGATTTTGTATTGTTGAGTTTTGTATTTTATTGCGCTTCGAGACTTAATTAGGGACAAAGCGTGTTAAAATGAACTTTATTATTATTAAGAATCCCAACTAGGCTAAACTACCACCCCCTACCCCCAGGTATACCACCACACATTTCTTTACCCCCTTAACCTAGAGTAATATTCTAAAGTCACATCCACTTTTACACAGCAGATTTATTACAATAATAATTACATCATATTTAAATGTGAATAATTCAATAAAACAAAACAAAATATTACACACTTGAGGTATTTTTAAGCATCTTAATCAGCCTCGTAACTGGAAATGTTATTTTGTGCACTATTGAATACATCATTACACAATAATTTCTTTCATACATAGAGAATTATATATTGATTGATAAAACCGTTATTTTTTTTCTAACATTTACAAAATTTTTAATATTAGTTTGAGATGTCCACTTATTTCATTTAAATTGCTGTAGACCTTCTCTGCATCGTCAATTCATTCAATGAGTCGGGCGCCAAACTTGTGAGGCACCAAAATAATGATGGGTTTTAAGAGTTGTTTTTTTTTTTGTTTTGGAGGGGAGGTGGGGGAAGTAACAATTGATTTCATACCCGGGGGCCAAACCAGAAAATATTATCTTAACTTTTAACTTCTAGAGTCTAACTTTAACTCAACCTAACTTCTGAATCTTAAACTTAAGTTTAACTTAGCTAAATTAATAAGACAGATGACATCATAACTGTAAGTGAAGTTATAACTTAAAATATAGGCTAATAATAACTTATATAAGTTGTATTATAAATTATATTAAATTGTAAATTGTATCATTTACTCCATTTAGTCGAAACTAATGACATGTAGTTAATAACTTAATAAGTCAGTTAGTTGAGTTCAGTTAGCCTTATTCTGATCTGCAACAAGTCAGACTGAGTCAGACCTATGCCTATGCCTATTATTAGTATTGCCACCAATTGGTTGACATTGAATAGTAATAATAATAGTCTATATATACTCAATATAATTATACTATACTATGACTATACTCTAACTATTTTAACAAATTATTTAATAAATACTATAGACTATAGTTATAGCAAAAATAAAATAAGTTTTAATTATAAGTTTAATTTATAACATTGTAATTATAAGTATAAGTATAAGAAAAACTTATTATTATAAGAGCTAGGTTATAATTATAGGTTAAAGTAAGAAGAGAAATTTAGAGTGGTTGTTAAGAGAAACTTGACAATAGGGGACTCATACTAACTCATAATAACTGGTTGTGTTTGGGTATACCAACACTGTCATGGTACACACTCAATTTAGTAACACAACACGGCTACACGTTACACGGTCAGTCGCGAGTCAGTTTCGTATGTCCGCCGAGTTCGACCTGCTCACGACTTAGTAGTAAGACTATTTCGGCTGCATGAATAGGTTATAAGTGCTCGTTCCTGTTACAAAACAGAATAAAATTGCAAATAAAAAATTGGGGTCCACAAAATAAATACCTACTATTAATGACACACAATAATTATTGATAGAATGGTACTTACCGAAACTTAAAACTGCTTGGTTCCCAATCCAAAGTCAGCCAACTTTATTTAAAGTAATATAAAAAATGTGCTATTCCACATTCTTGTTTTCTTGAAAAAGAGACGAAACAAACAAAACTTTGTCTACCAGCAATAATTTATTGGATAATGAGAATTTTTTTTTAACAACGCTTGTTAAATGTTTTAAACTTTAAAAGCTTTTTATCACACATTATCGAATTAAACGAACTGTGACATTTATTATGCTGATTAATATTTTTTTAAATTAATTTTATAGACGCAAAGCGACACGCGGGCACATCTAGGCAATTTAGCCCATTTTTAAAATATTGTGAGTATTAATAGGCCTAAAATGTATATTATAATATTGAAGTTCATTAACAGGAGTTTTGGCTTTGGTTTCAGTCAAGGGTGGCCAACGTGAGTGAAAAAAGGCTGTCATGAAGCGAGCTTCATGCGTAACGTCTGAACTAGGGTAAATTGGTTGCTTTTTTTGGTGGGGAGGGGGGGAGGCTTCATGCATGCAACATCATCTCTACAGTTACTGGAAATTTGTTTGAAAGAACGCACAATACTATATTACTATATAGTAAAACAAAATATTTTTTAAGTAAAGGTAAAAAAATGTTTCCCATTAAAAATTAGTCGACACGTTTAATCATATAGGACAGGCCTGCACAATTCAAAATGTAAGGAGGGCCGTAATACTTTTTGAAAAACAAGTGCGGGCCAAAAGAAAATAGGATAGTTGGGGGCAATGATTATTTCAGAAATCCCCCCCCCCCCGGGGGGGGGGGGGCACTTCAGATTTTTCGGGGGGCAGTGCCAGCAGTTCCAGTTGATTTATTGTTGGACATATTTTTGCTCCAAGGGGGGGGGGGACTGGGCTTTCCCCAGGGGGGGGGCACTTGACTTTCCCCGGGGGGGGGGGGCAGGCAGGGAAGTTATAATTATAAATTTATTTCATTTGTCAATGTTGGTTTGAGTCAAACTTCTTTGACTTTGATACATAAACTCAAATTGATATGCTGAACCAACATTAGCCGTTTTAAAACTATTAATATTAAGAAGAATGTTGTTTTTTTTAATATTAATTATTTTTTTCATCCATTTCCTGTCAGTTAGCAGTTCCAAAGATTCTTACAATGTCTACCGAAGAAACATCAGATTTTAATAATTTTGTGGCAAGCTTTGCTGAAGATGCTGCCAACAAGGTGTATAGGAATGGGTACGCTGTCTTTCTTTACAGTAAGGGAACCAGCAAGAAGGAAGGCATGAAATATGCTGCATCTGTACTTGATGAGTGCTTCATGCAAGAGGATAGTAGCTATGTGTCAAACAAGCTTGCAATTTATGCCAGTATGAAAACGTTAGAAAGCAAGCTATTAAATTTGAAAAAGCTACTAAAAGTAAACTGGAATAATAATAAAATTCAGAATTTTTTGTGGCAACCACTTAAACCACCTATCACCAAAAAGAGGAACTTATTGTCTTCCCTTACTTCAAGCTCTGTTGATATAACAAGTCCAAAAGCACAAGATGAGTGTTACATTCCACATTTATCTCAGCAGCTGTCAGATGGCCTACCACACGTTAGAGAAAAACAACTCAAAACAGACTGTGAGAAGTGTTCTAAAAGAAGAAAATTTTACATGATGGCCATATCAGAACTGAAGGTTAAACTCAGATCATCACGAAAAACTTTAAGAGAAATGTCAAAAAACTATAATGTCAGAGTTGTGAATCAAAATATGAAAAGAAAGGATGCAGCCAAAAACAAGTTAAAAAGGGAAAGAAAAGTTTTAAAAATAGAAAATTTGAACTTAAAAATTGAAGTAAATCGATTAAAGACCATCACTGGAAAGGAAAATGTTGCTATTGCAATAATTGATAAACAGGAGAAAAATAAAACAGAAGACCATTTATCTCAAACAAATTTAGACATTAAAATTATAAAAAAGAAAATTCTAACTAAAAATAAAATTCAAGAACTGGAGTTAGAAGTTAATATTTTAAAGCATGAGCTAATAAAATTACAGGAACAGTGTTCAATTGAAAAACTAGAAACAATTCTTGGAAATCCAAATCCTTTGGGGCCAAAGTTTAAAAGGTATGTTGCTCTGATGAATACAGATAATTGTTATCTATCGTGCTTAGCATTAATAGTTTTTCTTATTACTATCATTTTTTGTCTATGAATGCTGTAATATTTCATGTTCTGATCCATCTACTTTTAGTAGGGCCTACAGACAATGGAATGTCGAAGACATTCTTAACATTTTTTAAGGGAATTATGTGTGTCTGTTCGTTGTAAATGTTTGGACCACAAGATAGATCTGGAGACATACTTATTCTGATTAAATTTCGTAAAAATTTATATGTATTTAACTTTAAACATAATATGTAGATTCAATCGTTCGTAATTAAAATTCATTTAAGTTAAATTCAATGCACATTAATTATAACCAATAAATATTTTGTTTAATGTGATGGTATATTTCTAATACCGGTACATTCTGGAAATTTTTAAAATTATTTTTAAGATGTAAAAAAAAAATTCTTTATTGAAATTTTATATTCTTTTAGAATGTGGTCCAAACAGAGTAAAAGCCATGAACAAAAATGTGATGGCAGTCCTTTGGACACAGCTTCCTGTTCTGAGAAGGTAGTCAATTCAAAGGATAATAAAAATGTTGCAAGATCTTGATATTTGTCTATTCCCAAAGAAGCAATCTAAGAATCATTGTAGAACAGTCCATTGAATGGAACTCCCCCCTATATATAAATTTTAAAGATTACGAAAAGGCCTTCGATAGCCATGGACCCACAAACCTTGTGGAAACTTCTTCGGCACTATGGAGTACCAGGGAAACTAGTCAGGATCATCCATAGCTCTTATGAAGAAATGACATGCAGGGTGGTCCACGAAGGTAGACTCACAGATTCCTTTACAGTCAAACAGGAGTCAGACAAGGATGCCTCTTGTCCCCATTGCTATTCATCCTTGCCATGAAAAAATCCACAGACAAAAAGAGGAATGGGATACGGTGGACACTCTGGGAACAACTGAATGATTTAGACTTTGCAGACAACATTGCACTTCTTGTCCCACAACCAAGAAATAAATGAAAGGACTGCTTTCAAGCACGAATGAATACTGCTTGAGTTGTCTACTGTGCTCTTTTCTTTGTTATATTTTCATTTCTATTGTTGGCTGAGGAAGGCTTTATGCCGAAACGTCCTTGTTTTTTGTCCTGTTATCTTATTTCAAGCTTCCACATACCTCGTTTCGCTATTTCATTCATGTCCCACAACCAGCAACAAATGCAGGAAAAGACAAAGGACGTAGCCACCTTTTCAGCACAGCTTGGTCTCAATAAATAAAAGCAAGACAAAAATCATGAAGGTAAACCCATCGAACCATGAGCATATTTATCTGGCAGGAAATGCACTGGAAGAAGTAAAAAAAAAATTAAATTAGGAGCTCAAGTGGTTGTAAAAAGGTTATTTCAAATTAAAGATTTCCGTCGGATATAAGGTAAAAAGTAAAAAAACAAACAAAATTTTTGGAGAAGAATTAAAAAAAATTATGTAATTGATTTCAAATTTCATAAATTACATCCCTTTTTTGAATGATAGGACATTAAGAACATCACAGATATTCCAGCCAATGTTGCCATTGAAATAGAAAAGCACACTTTATATCACAGTATTGGACAATGGGTCTTTAGAACTTGGGTATCACAAGGTCAAGGACTCTGGTGAGCATCAACTTTAACTAAAAACCCAGCTTTAAAATGCATTTTTGTTATTGCTTGTTAAGGTAACGGTATCATAATGTTGTTTTTACCATAGGCCATTTTATTAACAAAAACATGCATTCAAGTAATGCGCTTAATAAGAATCCCAATTAGTGCTAACTTTTGGAATTTTATTTTGTGAACCTATCGTACACAGCATTATTTCCATACATACTTACCTAGAGATTTATTATTTGTGATTATAAGACATGCACATAAATATTTTTAAATTTCATTTTATAATTTATTTCAGGACAGAGACCCACGAACCCTTCGGATATTTTCACAACCAGTAAGATAGATAGCTCGAAAGTTTCCTTCAAGTCTGTAAATGGCAAACACTGGAGTTTACAAACTGATGGCAGAGTTGTCAGCATAGCTGAGACTGTTGGGAGCAGGGAACTGTTTGAACCTGTGTTTAAGGAAGTTAGTCAGGGATATTATTTCTTGGTATTTTAAGTAGAAGCACATAATCGGTATTTTAATTTACTTTTTAATGGCAGAACCATTACTGTCATTGACTTTGCAATATATTGGTAGCAGGGAACTTCTATTAGCCTCCATTAAAATAAAGACAGCTTTTGAAATATATTTTTTTGCATCAGGTTTTTTTTATAAATTAGGATGTGGTTAAAAGTAAAAGAGTTAAATAATTTCTTTTTTCCACTTGGTATGTCTAAATAACAAAATCTTAAATCTACAATTATTTTTTGTTGAAAAAAAATAATAATTGTAGATTTAAGATTTTGTTATTTAGACATACCAAGTGGAAAACTTGGTATGTCTAAATAACAAAAATCTTAAATCTACAATTATTTTTGGTTGAAATAAAAGCGGATTACTCTTATAAGAAAATCTAGTACCAGTATCACTAGATAATCTTATATAGAACAATGTACAAAAATATTAAAAGGAAAACTTTCGGTTTCAATATTTTATATTTTTATATATTTTCTTTGTGAAAGTTGCTTAATTTTTACTTAAACTTAATAATATGATTCTTCTTCACATAACAGTGATACATTTAGTTTTATAAATATATTCTCTGATAAATTATAATTTAATATTATGTATGTATTTTCAGGGCAAGATGGCATTAAGTGTTCACAACAACTGTTTCTTGTCTTATAATGAAGATGGTGACATTGTTTGTGAGAGTTGTACAGCTGACCCAAAAAATGTGGTTCAAACTAAGATCAAATGCTGCTACAATGAAAGATCCAGTGGAGGGTGAAACAGTTGAAGAACCA